CATTAGTCCCCCAGACTGAATCCGATTACCCACTCTGACTTATTTTTGGCAACCTGTGAGTGTTTGAGCCCATGCTTATTTTCATAGCTGATATATCAGCGCCAGAGCTGCTATTGGCATTTGGAAAATTAGTCCATTCCTTTCTTTTAAACATTTCACTGCCTATGAGGTATCATGACACATTAAACATTTACTTCTTAACACTTCACAAAATTGAGAACTTTTATTCCTCTTGTTATTATCACAACCACCTTCAGATGTTGACTGCTAAAACATATAGCAAAAAATTCTTAATAATTACAAATTTGATGTTTGTAAACTTAATGTTTTTTTTATTATTCATATGTGCATACAATGCTTGGGTCATTTCTACCCCCTGCCCCCACCCCTTCCCTTACCACCCACTCTGCCCACTCCCTCTTCCCCCTACCCCCTCAATACCCAGCAGAAACTATTTTGCCCTTATTTCTAATTTTGTTGTAGAGAGAGTATAAGCAATAACAGGAAGGAACAAGGGTTTTTGCTGGTTGAGATAAGGATAGCTATACAGGGAGTTGACTCACATTGATTTCCTGTACATGTGTGTTACCTTCTAGGTTAATTCTTTTTGATCTCACCTTTTCTCTAGTTCCTGGTCCCCTTTTCCTATTGGCCTCAGTTGCTTTTAAGGTATCTGCTTTAGTTTCTCTGCGTTAAGGGCAACAAATGCTAACTAATTTTTTAGGTGTCTTACCTATCCTCACCCCTCCCTTGTGTGCTAAAGCTTTTATCATGTGCTCAAAGTCCAATCCCCTTGTTGTGTTTGCCCTTGATCTAATGTCCACATATGAGGGAGAACATACGATTTTTGGTCTTTTGGGCCAGGCTAACCTCACTCAGAATGATGTTCTCCAATTCCATCCATTTACCAGCAAATGATAACATTTCGTTCTTCTTCATGGCTGCATAAAATTCCATTGTGTATAGATACCACATTTTCTTAATCCATTCGTTGGTAGTGGGGCATCTTGGCTGTTTCCATAACTTGGCTATTGTGAATAGTGCCGCAATAAACATGGGTGTGCAGGTGCCTCTGGAGTAACCTGTGTCACAGTCTTTTGGGTATATCCCCAAGAGTGGTATTGCTGGATCAAATGGTAGATCAATGTTTAGCTTTTTAAGTAGCCTCCAAATTTTTTTCCAGAGTGGTTGTACACCAACAGTGTATGAGGGTTCCTTTTTCCCTGCATCCTCGCCAACACCTGTTGTTCGTGGTGTTGCTGATGATGGCTATTCTAACAGGGGTGAGGTGGAATCTTAGTGTGGTTTTAATTTGCATTTCCTTTATTGCTTTATTGCTTTATTGCTAGAGATGGTGAGCATTTTTTCATGTGTTTTTTGGCCATCTGAATTTCTTCTTTTGAGAAAGTTCTGTTTAGTTCACTTGCCCATTTCTTTATTGGTTCATTAGTTTTGGGAGAATTTAGTTTTTTAAGTTCCCTATATATTCTGGTTATCAGTCCTTTGTCTGATGTGTAGCTGGCAAATATTTTCTCCCACTCTGTGGGTGTTCTCTTTGGTTTAGAGACCATTTCTTTTGATGAACAGAAGCTTTTTAGTTTTATGAGGTCCCATTTATCTATGCTATCTCTTAGTTGCTGTGCTGCTGGGATTTCATTGAGAAAGTTCTTACCTATACCTACTAACTCCAGAGTATTTCCTACTCTTTCTTGTATCAACTTTAGAGTTTGTGGTCTGATATTAAGATCCTTGATCCATTTTGAGTTAATGTTGGTATAGGGTGATATACATGGATCTAGTTTTAGTTTTTTGCAGACTGCTAACCAGTTTTCCCAGCAGTTTTTGTTGAAGAGGCTGCTATTTCTCCATCGTATATTGTCAAAGACAAGTTGGTTATAGTTGTGTGGCTTCATATCTGGGTCCTCTATTCTGTTCCACTGGTCTTCATGTCTGTTTTTGTGCCAGTACCATGCTGTTTTTATTGTTATTGCTTTGTAATATAGTTTGAAATCAGGTATTGTGATACCTCCTGCATTGTGCTTTTGACTGAGATTGCCTTGGCTATTCGTGGCTTCCTGTGTTTCCATATAAATTTCAGGGTAGATTTTTCGATCTGTTTAATGCATGTCATTGGAATTTTGATGGAAATTGCATTAAACATGTAGATTACTTTTGGGAGTATCGACATTTTTACTATGTTGATTCTACCAATCCATGAGTATGGGAGATCTCTGCACTTTCTATAGTCTTCCTCAATCTCTTTCTTCAGAAGTGTATAGTTTTCCTTGTAGAGGTCTTTCACATCTTTTGTTAGTAAACTTAATGTTTTTTGAGTTAGTAAACCAGCTTCTATAATCAGTAAGAAATAAAAGCCAGATTTCAGTGCAATTAAATATTCAGTACTTGACTTGTCTACATTTTGACTCAGGTTTTACTGTTACGCACTAAAAACTACTATTTATATGAAAGAGGTGAATAAGGAGATAAAGCAAAATGTTTCCTCCATTCAAAATGAAACTTTCAGATACTGTGTCTAATACCCTATACAAATCACATATATATGTATATGCACATATATATGTATTTATAGACAATATTAATTAGTAAGAATAATTATTTTTAAGCCACCAAGATATAAGAATTTTGAGATCCTAAATAAATTCTAAAATATGTTTAATAGATAAACTAACTTGTAAAAAATAGTACATTTTGCCAAAAGCAAAGGGTTTTCTCATCAATTGCCAGTTAATTTGGAAGTTGATTTATAACCAGAATTTCCCATTTGCTAAGCATTTCATGACTACTTAAACACTGAGTACCATCAAACTGAAGCTTATTTGAAGGCTGGACTGTGTTTGGATCCCTGGCATTTAGTGTACTGTGTGGTACTTAGTAGATTCTCAACCAGCACATCAATTAATAACTTCTACTAATGTGGGTGTAGTTACTCCTTCCTTTCCTCATACCAGAGTCTTCCCTGTCCTATGAAAATATTCCTGCTGTTCCAAACCACTGAAAGGGGGAAAGTGCTTCATGTTCTTTGTGCATTTCTTCCTCCAGATCCAGGACAAGACAGGTTAATTGGCCAGTACCAAAAACACAGTGGGTGATCCAATGGGTAAGACCATCAGTGCTGAGCAGCAAGAAAGAAGATGTAGGAGGTAGAAAGGTGGAGTACTTCTGACACTAGTTTCACCTCGATGGTGGAAGACCAGCCCTGCACTATCCTCTTCATATGAGCAGGACCATCATCACCCAAGGGTCTTGTCGTAGCCACCATGTGTGTGGAGGGATGAGGCCCCTACCAGGCAAGAGATTCACTGTGGCTGTGGCTCAGAGAGACCAAGCACTCATGGGACAAGAGTCTCTGTTCTGTATCTGAGAACTGACAGACAATGTGGATAAGCAGACATTTAATGAATCAGTCCATAAACACTATCTCATATTACAGAACTCTGCCTACGACCACCCACATCAAGATGCAACTGGCACTGATCCTGGAGCTACAGATGCAGCTAGAACTATCTTAGAAATATGATATGGTCACTGACCTGAGAGGACTTAGGGTCCAGTTTAGTTAGAATGTCACAAACACAAGTTAGCCTATTTAATGTTAAGAAAAAACTAAATTTCTATTAATGCCAGATATTATTTAAAAAGGCTAAGAGCTGTAAAGAGTAGATTTCTTAAAAACTGAAACAAGAACATATGTGTCAGTGCATTTTGATAGAAAGCCTCTTTTAGGGTATTGGTATGTTATTGTGTGCTATTTTTAGTTGCTGACAAAATGTGAATTACCAAAAACAGCAAACAGATTAATTATTATTAATCTTTTATCAGTACTATTAACCACATTAATAGTAATATTAATCTATGCAAGTGGATGTTTGCACAGATTAATGCAATCAGCAATACTTTCATTCATTTAACAGATTTTTTTATGTACTGTGTGATAGACTGATAGACATGTATAACATTTTTTGTATCTGTGACGTTGGGAAAAGTGACTTAAGCTTTCTGAGCTTGGGCTCCCCACTACAAAATGAGAATGAAAACATTACATACTTCATGAGATTACTTTGAATATTGCGTGAGATCTTTTCTAGGTGTTTCGTGTTTGTAGAGTGCCTAGCATAGTGTCTGCATCCTTGTAGATTGTTGACCAGTTTCAGCAACTCTTCTGCTACCAATTATAGAAGAGAAATATGAGGCTCAGAGCAGTGAAATAACTGGACATCACATGCCCAGAAGGTAAACTAAAAACAAAGCAGTAGGTGGTTCAAGGCATGTGAGTCTTGTTTGAGCTCAAAGAGAATTACTTCTGCTTATAGAGCCAGGCAGAAAATCAACCACACAAATGTTTTTTTCAAATATAGTTCATAAACTTTTATATGGAGACTTGAAGCAAAATTTTCTGTCTACCAGTGGCTGACTTTCTTCCCAAAGGCACTAGCAGATTCCAGTCTGGTCCCTTTGTCACCCTCTAAGCTTCTCTGATTAAGGACTGGGTAATCTTTAATGAAAAGGAATATCACAGGTGTCTCAGTCCTGACTTTTTTCACTTTTGTAAGTGACAGGTAAGAGTAGAGAGGAAATAATTGTTTTGAAATATTCTCCTAATAGTTCTCCAGCCTAAAGTAGAAAGAGTATTTCTTCAAGTTATGTCACTCTCTAGAGGACTTCCCTGGAACTTAAGTGTCACGAAGACTTTGTTCATTATTTACTTACTCTTTATGGTTATTTTGTATGTGTCACATGACACAATCTATGAATGAGAAACAGTCTTTTGGTGGAGAAAAATCCTCAAACTAAAACCCTGCATAGCTCGTTTGTCTTAAGTGTGATAGCATCCTTCAAAAATCTCTTGTGAGGCTAAAACACCTATGTAACTAAATCTCTTTTAAGAAATAATGCTTAACATAAACATTAGTGCTAGATTTATCTGATTACAATCTTATTGTCCACTAACTGAACTTGACCTCTACCTCCATGTATTTCTGTCTTAAACAGATTGTTACAACTTTCCACGTGACCGTCCAAGACGCTGATAACATCCTTGTCTTTTTGGAAGCGTCAGATCTCGTCGGTTCGGCATCTGTGTATGTTGTGAAGATAACTGGTGAATCCAAAAATTACTTCTTTGAATTTGAGGAATTCAACAGCACTTTGCCTCCTCCTGTTATCTTTAAAGCCAATTATCACGGCCTATATTATATAATCACTCTGGTCGTGGTAAATGGGAATGTGGTTACCAAGCCATCCAGATCAATCACTGTGTTAACAAGTAAGCATCATGTCTGCTGTCACCTGGTTTCTCCTCTGAGTGTGTTCCCCTGGGGCTCTCCCTGAAGCAATGTCAGCCAAAATGGCAATATGGCTCACCATGAAGACAAGTGACATAGAGTCAAATTTCTGTATTGCATTAAGAACCCAGATGTTTACCAAGGTTTGACAATGTTTACTATTTACCTTTTGTTAAGCAAAAATCTGTTTCAAGCCAAAAATAGTAAACCTCACTGAGGTCATGTATTTTGAGACTGAATGAAAATTTCTGATTCATGACTGGACCATGTAGTTTTTTGCTATCTTACTTAATAATGTGATCATAACTTGTCTTTTTTTTCCAGAGCATTTTTTTCCTATTAATCAATTTGGCTTTTGAGACAATAAATTTATATTCATATTAAGACTTCTCAAATTTAATTATACATTCTTAGCTGAAATAGAAAAAGATATCTTTATTTATTTATCAGATACTATTCCCCATCTCACCTTCAAAATAGACATGACTTCCATTGCCCCCCAAAAATTCAAAAAGTAAAAAACAAAAACACTGGCATTTTAACCTTCAGTTGTCCTTGTCTCGAAGAGTTAATGTTGATACTACCAAGTTTTTAGGTGTGCTTTAACTATAAGTGATTTTCACTTTACTATCTAGTCTCAAGCAGCTCTACTGTATATGTTACAGAATGTAAGAAAAATTGAGATCTGTAAAACAGTAGCTTATCACTATAACAACCTAATGGCCTAGAAAAGTCATTTTTGCTCATTTCTTCAGTGTAAGCTATTCAATGGCTGCCATCACTAAAATGCCAGCTCTATGTGGGCATGCTGGCCACAGTTAAGGAAAAAGACATAGTAATATTGGGAAACAATAAGAAGCAATAACTCAGATCCCAACTATAGGGCATATCTTTAATATGACTGTCAAAAATTAATTAAAGTCTCCATTGGCAGAATCCCAGGATCAGTATTGAGTTCTAGAAATTAACAATGGCATAGTCCCAAGGTTTTCAGATATAATGAAAAAAATCTAGGAGTTGGTTGAAGTAAAGGCAAAACTCACCTGGTAAATTCTGTCTTAAAGAAGTTATAGACAAAGGTGAATTGGGGATTCAGGCAGCAGACCTAGGCATGCCATACCTGTGATTCTAACTGTCTTGAAATCAAAGCTCTGCCTTTACTCATCTTCATAATTTCGTAAACTTGTGCTCAATAGGTGCTCTATAAATATTAGTTCAAGTTAGTTGAGCAAGAATTGGAAAAAAGCAGTGGGAAAGGCTAAAGTACAAAACAAATGAGAGCATAGAACTGCAATGCCTGCACCTGCCCCAACATTTATTAGCATGGGCTCAGTCATTCCCCATCAGACAAAGCTGGAGGATATAGCCCCATAGTTACTGGTTCATACAGAAATTTGATAAATCTCTAAAATTTTCTAGACTATCTCATTAATATTTTAGCCTTTGCAGTGGGCTCTATTGAGAATATCTTCTGTTTTCTTCTGTGAGTCTTTGACCTGAGGATTTAGAAGTAGGTTGAATGTCCAAAATTTTGAAAAGTTTTCAAAGGTTTTTTTCTTTTTTTTTTGTTATTTGTTTGTTTGTTTGTTTTGACTTTTTAAGTAAATGCTGTTGGGATCAGAGGATATACTTTATGTGGTTTCAACTACTTGAAAATGGTAACTTTTTTTCATGAGTCTATATAAGGTCTACATTGCAGTCATTTTGTGAGCATTTGGTGGGTGATTTCAACAAATGTCAGTTAGTCAAGTCCTTACTCAGTTCTGTTATTTGTTCTGATGGTAACACAGAGGAGTGTACCTGTGTCTCTGTCTGTTTCTCTTTTCACTTCTTTTAGTTTATGCTTAGCTATTTGGAAGATTTCTTCTTATGATGTTAAGTACAAACACACTTTGGATTGCTACACCTTCCTAATGACCTGATCATTTATTCTTCATGTAATATGCTTCTTCATCCAAATATTATGCTTTGTGCTGAAGTCTTTTTTGTCTGATATTAACATATTCATTTTAGTTTTCTTTTGATACCTGTCTTATTTGCAAGGTATGCTTATCCCAACCTTTTACTTTCAACCTACTTATGTATTTATATGTAAATGGGCTTTCTATAGACAGCATATAGCTGGTTACTGCTTTTTATCTAATTTGAGTGTTTACAAGCAGCACTGTCCACTAAAAGCAAAATGTTAACCACATGCTGAGCGCCATTGTCTCACGCCTGTAATCCTAGCTACTCAGGAAGGAGGCAGAGGTTAGGAAAATCGCAGTTCGAAGCCAACTGGGCAAGTCGTTTGTGGACCCAATCTTGAAAAAACCCAATGCAAAAAAAGGGCTGGCTCAAGTGCTTTGTAGCAAGCTTTAGTTCAAACCCCACACTATCAAAAAAAAAAAAAAAAAGTTAACCATATGTGTTATGTTGAATTTTCTGATAAACAACAGAAAAACTTTTTGAAAAGATGAAATAAGTTTTAACAACATGGTTTACTTAGCTCATTGTAGTCAAAATATTATTTCAATATGCACTCAAAATAAAAATTTACATACCACTTTTTACTTTTCAACATGAATTAATTAAAATTAAATAAAATTTAAAATTCAGTTCCCTAGTTGAACCAGCCTTATTTTAAGTGCTCATTTTATGTGACTTGTGGCTACCAACTTAGATATTGAAGGATTAGCCCATTTATATATAATAGAATTATTTAGATGGATTAATTTTGCTAGGCTCTTACTTGGGGAGGGAAGGAATGAGTCAATCTAGTCAATAGTTGAGCTGGGTCTAGAGTACTCAAAACCTTTAGGTCATCACAGGTTCCAAGGGTGCCAGGAGAGGTACAGAGTATTTCTCAGTGTTCCGGTTCCACCTTCAGTGTTCAACAAGCAAGGAATCCCCAGAAATAGATTGCTGTTACTTTTTACTCAGTACTAAGTCTTTGGTGGAGACAAGAGGATCTCTTGGTTGCCCTGGTTTTGCCTCAGGCTTAGGCAGACCTTGTGATCATAAGGAAGGCATTCTTAACATTTCAACCCATCTCTTGACATTCATAATCAAATTGACCTTATATCTGTGGGTTGAGTATTTCCTGCCCCTTGGTCAGTGGTTTCTAAACTGTACTTTGTATCAGTGTAGGCTCCAGCCATCCCACAGGAGCAGGAATCTTTGCTTCTCCCCACCTCTTGAAAGGAGGGATATTTTCCTGCAACCTGGAATGAAAATATTTTTCTACCCTTGCCCAATACCTTACGAACTCAACTTTGTGTTCAAGAATGGTACAAGGAAGCAAATTTTCTTGCAGGTCTCTTAGTTGCTCAAGTCATCATGTGTAAGCTTTGCCCCTCGGTGAGAGTCCCATCCCTTGCCCTGCTCCCAGTAGTTCTGGTCCAGGAAAAGAGCAATCAACTCTATTTGTGTTTGATCTCCCATTGATTCTGAACCAACATTGTCCTAGATCTGGATGAGAGAAATGTTCTATAGCTGCAGTGTCCAATATAGTAACCAGTCATTTTCTAATTTAATCTAATTTTATTTCATTTTAAATTTAATTTAAACAGTTACTGTGGCTAGTAGCTACCATATTGGACAGAGAAGTGCTAAATTATGGTTGAGACCACACTCAACGTTTACTGATTCATTTTCATCTTTGCCGCTTACTTCTCCTTTCATAGCTCTGTTCTGCTTAAGGGAGCAGTGCATCCCTCCTTTCCTCACGGCAGCTTGTCTCTCCTTGGAATTTTCTTCGCTTGGCTGCTTGCAATCTTACCTCTGTGATATTCTCAAGCAAATGTATGATTTCATTGGTTACTTGGCTTTTCCTTGTTGGGTTGAGGTGGGCAGGGAAGATGTGATGTTGTCTTCAAGCTTTCAACATCTTTTTTTTTAATTATCATATTATTGTTGAACTGGGGGTACATTGTGACATTTACAAAAGTTCTTACAATACACCATAGTTGAATTTACCCTCTCTAGCATTAAGCTTTTGCTGTTATATGGAGAAAGGAAGCATGCATTGGTTTCTAAAGAGTAAAATTAATTAATCATGGACTATAGTACAACCTTCTCCACCCCACTTTTAGTCTCAAGCGCATTATCTCAGCTCTTAGAAGCAATGAAAGGTTAGGAATAGAAGAACTGGAGCTAAGTAATATTTCTGACATTGACATGAGGTGGCATCAGGTAGCATCTAGGTTTCAACTTCCTCTATTATAAAAGAGGAATTAAAGCACACAATGACTAAGACTACTTTTGCACTTCAAAACCACCATTATTTATCAGCTAATGATATATTTTTGACATCATTTTTGTGGCACTGGGATTTGAAATCAAAGCCTTGCACTGCTAGGCAGGTGCTCTATCACTTGATCCATGCTCCCAGTCCTTTTTGATTTAGTTATTTTTCAGGTAAGGTCTTGTGTTTTTGTCTGGAACAAGTCCTCCTACCTATGCCTCCCACATAGCTGTGATCACAGGAATGCCACTACACCCAGATTGCTTGTTGCGATGAGGATCTCACTCACTTTTTGCCTGGGCTGACCTCACACCTTGATCCTCCTAATCTGTCTCCTAAGTAGCTAGGATTACAGACGTATATCACTGTGCAAGTCCTCCATCTTTAATTTTTCTAATGGAAAGCTTTTTTTAAAAGAGTAGAAAATGTTTTTAGTGTCTGCTCACAGGATTTTGACACAGTGCTCTTGAGAATGGAAAGAGTACATTTGTGGTTGTCATTGACTGTGAGCTAGATGCTCATCTTGATGAAATAAGCAATGACAAAGCAGTTGACCCGAGGGCAGTCTTTTGATTTCTTCCTGTAATTGTTCTGAGTCTGAAGCTCTCAGAGAAAGCTGATAAACATGGGAAAGAAAAACATTCAGCAAAACTGTGTCATTTGGCCAGTTCAAAAGAGTTCTCAACCCTTAGCCTCTGTCACCTGTTAAATACTGAAGTGAGAACCTTAATATTTGATTGTACCCTTGGGGGAAAA